GTGTCCGGACTGGAAGGGGGGGAAAGTGTCCGGACTGGAAGGGGGGAAAGTGTCCGGACTGGAAGGGGGGGAAAGTGTCCGGACTGGAAGGGGGGGGGGGGGAGTGTCCGGACTGGAAGGGGGGGAAAAAGTGTCCGGACTGGAAGGGGGGGAAAGTGTCCGGACTGGAAGGGGGGGGGGTGTCCGGACTGGAAGGGGGGTGAAAGTGTCCGGACTGGAAGGGGGGGAAAGTGTCCGGAACTGGAAGGGGGGAAAAGTGTCCGGACTGGAAGGGGGGGGGGGGTGTCCGGACTGGAAGGGGGGGAAAGTGTCCGGACTGGAAGGGGGGGGGGGGAAGTGTCCGGACTGGAAGGGGGGAAAGTGTCCGGACTGGAAGGGGGGGAAAGTGTCCGGACTGGAAGGGGGGGGAAAGTGTCCGGACTGGAAGGGGGTGGGAAGTGACCGGACTGGAAGGGGGGGGAAAGTGTCCGGACTGGAAGGGGGGGGGGGAAATGTCCGGACCGGAAGTGGGGGGGGGGAAGTGTCCGGGGGGGGGAAAGTGTCCGGACTGGGAAGGGGGAAAAGTGTCCGGACTGGAAGGGGGGAAAGTGTCCGGACTGGAAGGGGGGGGAAGTGTCCGGACTGGAAGGGGGGGGGGGTAAGTGTCCCGGACTGGAAGGGGGGGGGGAAGTGTCCGGACTGGAAGGGGGGGGGGAAATTTTATCCGGACTGGAAGGGGGGGGGGGAAGTGTCCGGACTGGGAAGGGGGGGAAAGTGTCCGGACTGGAAGGGGGGGAAAGTGTCCTGGACTGGAAGGGGGGGAAAGAAGTGGGTCCGGAGTTCAGTGTGGGGGGGGAAGTGTCCGGACTGGAAGTGGGGGGGGGTGTCCGGACTGGGGGGGTCAGGGGGGGAAGTTCAGTGTTGGGGAGTTCAGGGGGGGAAGTGTCCGGACTGGAAGGGGGGGGGGGGTTCAGTGTCCGGGGGGAGTTCAGTGTTGGGGGGGGGGGCAAGTGTTGGAGTTCAAGGGGGGGGGGGTTCATGTCCGGACAGGGAGGGGGTAATATAATTTTTCACTCTCATCATATTTCCCTGTTTGTGAGAAGAATATATCACATTATTATCAGGCCCTGCGTCTGTATATTTGGGGAGTTCGCACTGATTGGGTCGGAGTTCAGTGTGGGGGGGGTTTTAGTGTTGGGGGGGGGGTGCAGTGTTGGGGGGGTTCAGTGTTGGGGAGTTCAGTGTTGGGGGGTTCAGTTGTTGGGGGGTTCAGTGTTGGGGAGTTCAGTGTTGGGGGGGTCATTGTTGGGGGAGTTCAGTGTTGGGGGGGGGTTCAGTGTTGGGGGGGTTCAGTGTTGGGGGGGTTCAGTGTTGGGGAGTTCAGTGTTGGGGGTTCAGTGTTGGGGGAGTTCAGTGTTGGGGGGTTCAGTGTTGTGGAGTTCAGTGTTGGGGGAGTTCAGTGTTGGGGGGTTCAGGGGGGGGTTCAGTTTTGGGGAGGGTTCAGTGTTGGGGGGTTCAGTGTTGGGGAGTTCAGTGTTGGGGGGGTTCAGTGTTGGGGGGGTTCAGTGTTGGGGGGGTTCAGTGTTGGGGGAGGGTTCAGTGTTGGGGAGGTTCAGTTGTTGGGGGGGTTCAGTGTGGGGATTGGGGGGAGTTCAGTGTTGGGGGGTTTCAGTGTTGGGGGGGGTTCAGTGTTGGGGGGGTTCAGTGTTGGGGAGTTGGGTTCAGTGTTGGGGGGGTTCAGTGTTGGGGGGTTCAGTTCAGTGTTGGGGGGGGTTCAGTGTTGGGGGGTTCAGTGTTGGGGAGGGTTCAGTGTTGGGGGAGTTTCAGTGTTGGGGGAGGGTTCAGTGTTGGGGAGGGGGTTCAGTGTTGGGGGAGGGTTCAGTGTTGGGGGGTTCAGTGTTGGGGAGGGTTCAGTGTTGGGGGGGTTCAGTGTTGGGGAGTTCAGTGTTGGGGGAGGGTTCAGTGTTGGGGGAGTTCAGTGTTGGGGGTTCAGTGTTGGGGGGGTTCAGTGTTGGGGGGGGAGGGTGTTCAGTGTTGGGGGGGTTCAGTGTTGGGGGGTTCAGTGTTGGGGGAGGGTTCAGTGTTGGGGAGTTCAGTGTTGGGGTTTCAGTGTTGGGGGGTTCAGTGTTGGGGGGGTTCAGTGTTGGGGGGGGGGGGGGGGGGGGGGGTCAGTGTTGGGGGGGGGCTTCAGTGTTGGGGGGGGTTCAGGTTGGGGGGGGTTCAGTGTTGGGGGGTTCAGTGTTGGGGGAGGTTGTTTCAGTGTTGGGGGTTCAGTGTTGGGGGGGGTTCAGTGTTGGGGAGTTCAGTGTTGGGGGGGTTCAGTGTTGGGGGGGGTTCAGTGTTGGGGGGGGTTCAGTGTTGGGGGGTTCAGTGTTGGGGAGTTCAGTGTTGGGGGGGGGTTCAGTGTTGGGGAGTTCAGTGTTGGGGGGGGGGTTCAGTGTTGGGGGGTTCAGTGTTGGGGGAGAGGGTTCAGTGTTGGGGGGGGGGGGTTCAGTGTTGGGGAGTTCAGTGTTGGGGGAGGGTTCAGTGTTGGGGGGTTCAGTGTTGGGGAGTTCAGTGTTGGGGGGGTTCAGTGTTGGGGAGTTCAGTGTTGGGGAGTTCAGTGTTGGGGAGTTCAGTGTTGGGGGGGGTCAGTGTTGGGGGGAGTTCAGTGTTGGGGGGGTTCAGTGTTGGGGGGTTCAGTGTTGGGGGGGGTTCAGTGTTGGGGGTTCAGTGTTGGGGGGGTTCAGTGTTGGGGAGTTCAGTGTTGGGGGGTTCAGTGTTGGGGAGGGTTCAGTGTTGGGGAGTTCAGTGTTGGGGGGTTTCAGTGTTGGGGAGTTCAGTGTTGGGGAGTTCAGTGTTGGGAGGTTCAGTGTTGACAGTTCAGGATTTGGGCCCCATCTAGCGCAGGAGGATCACCTATTCCCGGAGATCTATCATTTGAGGTCAGGATTTGTCCCGTATTTCCATTGATTCCCGTTCTCCATGAATTGGTAAGTAATATAATTCAGTTTATATTGGCGCAGAACCTTTGGGATCCAAGTGGGCGGGGCATGTTCTGATTATCACACCTATTGGATGAGGGCGGAGTGATGTCATTCACGCGGTGATAATAATGGCAGTCATGTACTATGACGCCTGATGGACGGCTTCACACTGACCTGGAGATCTTTCCTGCTGCTGGCACCACGCTGGAGGCTGCTAGCCAGGATCAGAGGTGGGGTCACTCAGCATGGGACAGGAGCCGCCACTACAGAGGCGGCACCAACTGCGGCTCCCAACTTTACAGGTAGTCCCTCTGCACTGCACTCTGATTGGTGCTCTGGGATGGCGGCTCAGACTGCCAGCTGCTGCCCCCTGGTGTCCAGTATTATCACTGTATTAGTGACCAGCAACTTCAGTCAGCGCCAGATTGCCCTCCGCACTCTGACAGTCCCACTATAAGTCCCTGATCTCTGACAGCAGCACAGCGCCATCGCTGCATACGTTCCAGTATGGAGGGTGGGGACCTTATAGACCGACCAATCACTGGACACGGATCGGGAGACACGGAGCGGACGACATTTCAGCCTAAATTTAGGAAGAGATCGGATTTTATTGGAATTGTTTTATAACAGAAAGTAGAAAATCTTCAACCGCATACCCCGGCGCCCTATAATAGAGCTGCCACTGGGGTGCGCAAAATCACGCCGACACACGGGACTTTGTATGTCCGGGGGGGGGAGGGGGGCGTGTGAGCTGCATGTGAGCCCTACCTGTGCCGCCATTCGCAGCCTCAGCTGTCAATCACCAGATCCCAGCCAGTGATTACTGAGGATCTCCGAAGGGGAGGAGGACGGCTTTGTTTACTAACATTCCTCCCTGTGGGCTCCGCACAGAGCCATCCACAGCAGTGTGAGGACATTGACACACACAGACCCCGCCCCACAGTAACAGACCCCGCCCCCCAGTAACACCCCCGCCCTCTAGTAAAACCTCCCCCCTAGTAACACTCCCCCCCAGTAACACCCCCCCGACCCTCTAGTAAAACCTTCGCCTCCTAGTAACAGACCCCCCGTACCCTCTAGTAAAACCTCCGCCTCCTAGTAACAGACACCGCCCTAACACCCCCGACCCTAGTAACATTGCCCCGTCCTCTAGTAACACCCCCGTCCTCTAGTAACAGACACCGCCCTCTAGTAACAGACACCGCCCCTTTGTAATATCCCCATCCTCTAGTAACACTCCCGCCCTCTAGTAACACTCCGCCCCCTAGTAACACTCCGCCCCCAGTAACACCCCCACCCTCTAGTAAAACCTCCGCCTCCTAGTAACAGACACCGCCCCTTTGTAATATCCCCATCCTCTAGTAACACCCCCGCCCTCTAGTAAAACCTCCGCCCCCTAGTAACAGACACTGCCCCCTTGTAACACAGACACCGCCCTCTAGTAACACCCCCACCCTCTAGTAACAGACACCACCCACTTGTAACAGACACTATCCCCCCAGTAACACTCCACCCCCTAGTAACAAACACCGCCCCCTTGTAACAGACACCACCCCCCAGTAACACCCCCGCCCTCTAGTAATACACCCCTGCCCCCTAGTGACAGACCCCGCCCCGTAGTAACACACCACCCCCTGGTAACAGACCCCACCCCCTAGTAACAGACCCCCACCCCCTAGTAACAGGCCCCCTAGTAAAACTCCCAGCACACATGTAACCCTTTGATGGCCCCTCACATTACCCCCTTCCTGCCCGGTGTCAGTAGTGTCGGGGCTTTTAGTAGCATTGATCTCTGTGTTGGTGTCACTGGGGATGCTAATGATTGGCTGCACAGAGATCAGATATAGCCCCTCCCCCCACACACCCAGTCACACGCCCATCTCACCCTCTTCAGTGTACACTACGTCCAGGAATGATGAGACTGAGGTGTCCACCATACACATCTATTGGGTGAACCTACCCGACATGTTCCGCCCCTCGGGGGAGGAGAACCCACCACTCTGTACAATGATTGGTCCAGCACTGTCACATGATCCCTGGAACCAGAAGGAGCAGAGAGGAACACTGAATCCCTCCTTCAGTCTTGCACAGGTGGCTCCTCCCCTACAGTCACCAGGTGTACCGGCTCCTCCCCTACAGTCATGCACAGGTGTACCGGCTCCTCCCCTACAGTCATGCACAGGTGTACCGGCTCCTCCTCTCTACAGTCTTGCACAGGTGTACCGGCTCCTCCCCTTCAGTCTTGCACAGGTGTAGCCGGCTCCTCCCCTTCAGTCTTGCACAGGTGTACCGCTCCTCCCCTTCAGTCTTGCACAGGTGTACCGGCTCCTCCCCTACAGTCTTGCACAGGTGTACCGGCTCCTCCCCTTCAGTCTTGCACAGGTGTACCGGCTCCTCCCCTCCAGTCTTGCACAGGTGTAACTGGCTCCTCCCCTCTAGTCTTGCACAGCAAATGTGGCTCTCCCCTTTCGGTCTTGCACAGGTGTAAGGAGCTGCTCCCCTAAGTGTTGGCATGGTGGCTGTACTCGCTGCGCTCTCCTACAGTCATGCACAGTGTTCTCACTGCACTCCAGGTGTTCTCACTGCAGTCTCCCAGTGTTCCTCCCTCCCATCTGGCACTGCACTGGCTCCTCCCCTCCCATGTTCTCGCTGCGCTCCCTTGTTCTCACTGCACTCCCGTGTTCTCGTGCTCCCATGTCCTCACTGCGCTCGCTCCCATGTTCTCGCTGCGCTCCCATGTTCTCACTGCACTCCCGTGTTCTCGTGCTCCCATGTCCTCACTGCGCTCCCGTGTTCTCGCTGCGCTCCCATGTTCTCACTGCACTCCCGTGTTCTCGCTCCCGTGTCCTCGCTGCGCTCCCCCGTGTTCTCGCTCCCGTGTTCTCGCTGCGCTCCCGTGTTCTCGCTGCGCTCCCGTGTCCTCGCTGCGCTCCCGTGTCCTCGCTGCCCCCGTCTGTAAGAGGAACTCGGTCTTCAGCCTTAAAGTTGGAGGCCACCATTGCTGACGCCTCCGGAGGACCAGAGCTGATTGGCCGCATCCGCAGCGTCAGCTACCTGGACAATAACGGACCCCCCATCCCCTCCCCCCCCCCCCCCCCGGGATCCTGGAAACATTCGATACATTGTTATACTAATGAGCTGACCAATGGACACAAAGTATCCCAGCGGGGGCTGCAATGGTACCGCCCCCTGATCACATGGCCGGAGGGCTGAGCTGATTGGTTCCCAATCACTCCTTCAGGCTGGAGCAGTGACTGCATGTATGTTTGAGCTACTGAGCTCTGTAAACAATAGGGGGACAGGAGGGCCGGAGCCCCACCTGCTGGGTGACGGTGAGAATACACAAGCGATATTCCTTCCGTTTGAATGTTTTAATCCAAATGATACCAAAAGAAACCGATGAGACCCCCCCGGGACCCCCTGTAGCCCCAACATTTGTCCAGCCGTGGTCTGTTATCTACTGGTCTACAGGAAAATGACAGCCGCCCTCTGATTGGCTGCTTGGGATGGCACCTCCCCCCAGACAGGTGGAATAATATCAGAAGGACAATTTTCCTTTCAGATGCTGAACACGTAAAAGGAGAAAAGCCACCAAACACCCAACAAGTATAGGGGGTGGGGGGTCCCCGATGATGGAGAGATCGGGTGATGGGATTGGAGCAGTGCTGGCCCAGCTCCATTTCTGTGTATGGGAACGGCAGACATAACACTCCATCCCTCAGGATGGGATCAGAAATGTGTGACGAAGGAGAATTTTACACTCAAATGTCCCGACTGGCGTCTCACTTCTGGGAGCGTGTGATTGGCTGCCGTGGGTGCGGTGGTTTCCCTCTCGTGGAGTATGGAAGGAGCCGGCCCCACGAAGGAAGAGCTGTGTCAAGGAACATCGCCCCCTGCAGTGCAATCTGCTCCATACAGCACCCATGACACGCCCATGACACACCCACTGTAAGGCTGATGTCTGCACATAGAGAGACCTCCACTGGATAGCCCAGATCACCCAACACAGAGGAACCTGTCCTCACCGACCTCCTGAGGATTCCGATCTGGATTCAGGTGTCTGACCCGACATACAGGACTTATGACTCAGGAGGAAAGGCAGCCAGATAAGTAGCAGTGAGTGGTGGTGGACCTCTGAGGAAGCACACACCGGAGACCTCCTCACCCCCGAAATAGGACGTCATGGCCAGAGGACAGTGGAGGTATGATTGGGCCAACAACAGGACCACCAAGACGAGCATCTCCAGAACATTCCACTATTACCCATGGGTGCAAATGACTTTTCACTGGAAATAAATGGAGCCCAATGGTGCCTGGAACCACAATGTGTCACTCCAGGTCCATTGGCTGGATCTCCAAAGTCACAAATACACCCCAAATAAAGTCCCTCAGGGTTCAGCCATATGCTCAAGCTTCCTTCGACTCTTCTAAGAGTGCAGCCTTGTCTTCTGCTTACAACAGCCTCATATTCCTTTCCTGAAAGCCTTGTCCCAGCCTCCTCCTCCAGCCCGCCTCCCTGTCCCAGCTTCCTTTTTACACCAACCCTGTCCCAACCAGCTCCCTCTCCCACCAGACATGTCCCGGCCTCCCTCTCCCAGCTCCCCCATCCTGGACTACCTCTCCCATCAGCCATGTCCCGGCCTCCCTCTCCCACTGACTCTGTCCTAACCTCCCTGTCCCAGCTCCTCCATCCTGGCCTACCTCTCCCACCAGCCATGTCCCGGCCTCCCTCTCCCACTGACTCTGTCCTAACCTCCCTGTCCCAGCTCCTCCATCCTGGCCTACCTCTCCCACCAGCCATGTCCCGGCCCTCTCCTCCTACCTCCCACTGACTCTGTCCTAACCTCCCTGTCCCAGCTCCTCCATCCTGGCCTACCTCTCCCACCAGCCATGTCCCGGCCTCCCTCTCCCACTGACTCTGTCCTAACCTCCCTGTCCCAGCTCCTCCATCCTGGCCTACCTCTCCCACCAGACATGTCCCGGCCTCCCTCTCCCAGCTCCCCCATCATGGACTACCTCTCCCACCAGCCATGTCCCGGCCTCCCTCTCCCAGCTCCCCCATCCTGGACTACCTCTCCCACCAGCCATGTCCCGGCCTCCCTCTCCCACTGACTCTGTCCTAACCTCCCTGTCCCAGCTCCTCCATCCTGGACTACCTCTCCCACCAGCCATGTCTCGGCCTCCCTGTCCCAGCTTTCTTTTTCCTCCCAAACCCTGTCCCAACCACCTCCCTCTCCCACCAGCCCTGTCCCCCACCAGCCCTGGCCTCCCTGTCCCAGATTCTTTCTACTAACTGCCCTGTCCCAACCATCTCCCTCTCCCACCTACCTTGTCCTAACCACCTCCCTCTCCCAGCACCCCCATCCTGGCCTCCTTCACCCACCAGCCCTGTCCAAACCTCCCCTTTCCACCCCGCCTCTCCTACCAGCCTCCCCCATTGGCTCTGTCCCTCGTCTTCTTCTTACACCAACCCCATCCCTGTCTTCCCCTTCCACAAACTCTATACCTCCCATCCTTGCAGGCTTCAGAATATACAAACCACAGCCCCACCTATCACCTTACTACCTCACCCTGGTGTCACAGGTGGTGTCACCCCCACACTTTGTTACATTACCGCCCTTTTCTCTATGTGACCACATTGCCCTTCCTGCAAGCCTTATCTCAGCCGCTTCCTCCCACCGGCCATGTCATGGCCTCCCTGTCCCAGCTTACTTCTCCCACCTGCCCTGTCCCAACCACCTCCCACTCCCACCGGCCCTGTCCCAACCACCTCCCACCGGCCTGTCCCAACCTCCCTCTGCCAGCACCCCCATCTTGGCCTACCTCTCCCACCAGCCTTCCTAGTCTCCCTCTCTCATTGGCCCTGTCCTTCATCTTCCTCATACAACAACCCCATCCCCGTCTTCCCATTCCACAAGCTCTATACAGTGAGGAACAGAAGTATGTGAACCCCCTGCGATTCTGCAGGTTCTCCCACTTCTCCATCATGGAGGGTCTGACATTCACATTGCAGGGGATTCCCACTCTGAGGACAGAATTCAGGAAATCACATTGCAGGGGATTCCCACTCTGAGGACAGAATTCAGGAGATCACATTGCAGGGGATTCCCACTCTGAGGACAGAATTCAGGAGATCACATTGCAGGGGATTCCCACTCTGAGGACAGAATTCAGGAGATCACATTGTATGATTTGTAAAGAATGTATTTGTCTCGCACGGCTGAACAGAAGGATTTGAACCCCTGAGAAGCAGCAAGAATTCTGGCTCTCAAAGACCTGTTACTGCGCCTTTATAAAGTCCCCCTCTACTCCACTCATTCATCTCACTTAGTAGCACCTGTCTGAGCTCTATAGACACCTGTCCACCCCACAGTCAGTCAGACGCCAACTACTACCATGGGCAAGACCAAAGAGCTGTCAAAAGACACCAGAGACAACATGGTGGACCTCCACAAGGCTGGAAAGGGCTACGGGGCAATTGCCAAGCAGCTTGGTGAAAATAGATCAACTGTTGGAGCAATTGTTAGAGAATGGAAGAGGCTAAAGACGACTGTCAGTCTCCCTCGGACTGGGGCTCCATGCAAGATGTCCCCTCGTGGGGTATCACTGATGAGAAGAAAGGTGAGGAATCAGCCCAGAACTACAAGGGAGGAGCTGGTCAATGACATGAAGAGAGCTGGGGCCACAGTTCACAGGTCACTGTCGGTAGAACACTACGACGTCATGGTTTCCAATCATGCATTGCACGGAAGGTTCATCATCACATGTCCAGGCCCGTCTGAAGGTTCCCCTGCTCCAGTCATCACATGTCCAGGCCCGTCTGAAGGTTCCCCTGCTCAAGTCATCACATGTCCAGGCCGTCTGAAGGTTCCCCTGCTCAAGTCATCACATGTCCAGGCCCGTCTGAAGGTTCCCCTGCTCCAGTCATCACATGTCCAGGCCCGTCTGAAGGTTCCCCTGCTCAAGTCATCACATGTCCAGGCCCGTCTGAAGGTTCCCCTGCTCCAGTCATCACATGTCCAGGCCCGTCTGAAGAAAGTCCCCTGCTCAAGTCATCACATGTCCAGGCCCGTCTGAAGGTTCCCCTGCTCAAGTCATCAGGTCCAGGCCCGTCTGGGTTGCCAATGACTATCTGGATGATCCAGAGGAGGCATGGGAGAAAGTCATGTGGTCAGAGGAGGCATGGGAGAAAGTCATGTGGTCAGAGGAGACCAAAGCAGAACCTTCTGGTCTAAACTTCACTCGTCGTGTTTGGAGGAAAAAGAAGGATGAGTTGCATCCCAAGAACACCATCCCTACTGTGAAGCATGGGGGTGGTAACATCATGCTTTGGGGGTGCTTTTCTGTGCAAAGGGGACAGGACGACTGCACTGTATTAAGGAGAGGATGAATGGGGCCATTTATGGTGAGATTTTCAGCAACAACCTCCTTCCCTCAGTCAGAGCATTGAAGATGGGTCGTGGCCGGTCTTCCAACATGACAACGACCCGAAGCACACAGCCAGGAGAACCAAGGAGTGGCCCCGTAAGAAGCATATCGAGGTTCTGGAGTGGCCTAGCCAGTCTCCACACCTAAATCCAATAGAACATCTTTGGAGGGAGCTGAAACTCCGTGTTGCTCAGCGACAGCCCCGAAACCTGACAGATCTAGGAGGAGATCGGTGTGGAGGAGTCGGCCAAAATCCCTGTTGCAGTGCAAACCTGGCCAAGGACTACAGGAAACGTCTGACCTCTGGAATTGCAGACAAAGGCTTCTGTACCAAATATTAACACGGATCTTCTCAGGGGTTCAAATACTTCTGTTCAGCCGTGCGAGACAAATACATTCTTTACAAATCCCCTGCAATGTGACAATGTGATCCCCCTCAATGTGAATTCTGTCCCTCAGAGTGGGAATCCCCTGCAATGTGATCTCCTGAATTCTGTCCTCAGACTGGGAACCCCCTGCAATGTGATCTCCTGAATTCTGTCCTCAGAGTGGGAATCCCCTGCAATGTGATCTCCTGAATTCTGTCCTCAGACTGGGAATCCCCTGCAATGTGATCTCCTGAATTCCCTCAGACTGGGAACCCCCTGCAATGTGATCTCCTGAATTCTGTCCCTCAGACTGGGAACCCCCTGCAGAGTGGGAATCCCCTGCAATGTGATCTCCTGAATTCTGTCCTCAGACTGGGAATCCCCTGCAATGTGATCTCCTGAATTCTGTCCTCAGAGTGGGAATCCCCTGCAATGTGATCTCCTGAATTCTGTCCTCAGAGTGGGAATCCCCTGCAATGTGATCTCCTGAATTCTGTCCTCAGAGTGGGAATCCCCTGCAATGTGATTTCCTGAATTCTGTCCTCAGAGTGGGAATCCCCTGCAATGTGAATGTCAGACCCTCCATGATGGAGAAGTGGGAGAACTTGCAGAATCGCAGGGGGTTCAAATACTTCTGTTCCTCACTGTACCTCCCAACCTTACAGACTTCAGAATATACAAACCACAGCCCCCCACCTATCACCCCACTACCTCACCCTGGTGTCACAGGTGGTGTCACCCCCACACTTTGTTACAGTACCACCCTTTACTCTGCAGGGTGACCACATTGCCCTTTCACCCAGTGGCCACCTTCCCCCATCCATAAGTACATACATTGTGCCTCGGGGCTGATTTCAGAACCTCTTTGACAACCTTAACAATGAAGACAAAGGAGAACGAATCGGATTGGCTCACACTATTTACACATTTCACTTTCTGTACTTTTTTTTTGAAGATTTCAGTGAAAAGCTGAACATTCATCAAAGCCATGTAGTGCTTACAGACCAATGGTTACGGGATGTATACATATAGTAATGGCGGGGTCTAGGGAATCAGTGGATGGTCCTCGTTGAAGCTGATCTGTTGGCGGCACCTAATCGTACTGGAAGCCACAGGTGGAGGCCAGGAGGTTCTGCAGGAAAGCCGTGGAGAGCTCTAGGTGTTGGTGCATTTTCCGGCAGGAGTCTCCTGTGGCGTCCAGCTTTGTGTCCTCTTCTCTGCTCCTGGCCGGGAGGAACTGTGGAAGTTTGTAGACTTTCTTTGGTGGAGGGGCCACAGGTCGCAGTAATAGTCTGTCCCGAGCGTGAATCTTCTGATGCCGATTGAACTGGAAGAGATATGAGAAAGTCCGTCCACACTCTACACATGAGAAGAGCTTTGTGGACTGCAAAGGTCCATCTGTGGACACAACGTGGTCACTCTGGGAAGTAATGGGATGCGTCTCTTGGTTACCCGACAAATTCTGTTTGGAACTGATGTGTGTCTCACACGTTGGCTGCTTCAATGACTTGTCCTCTTTGTGAATCTTCTCGTGGTTCTTCAGATGTTGGTTGTACAGGAAACTTTTTTTGCAAATGGAACACTGAAATGACTTATCTATAAGAGGGGGGCTCCCAGGTCGTCTTGCTTTGTCCATTCAGCTGGTGGAGCCGACCCATAACCTTTCCCATCAACCTGCTGACAATCTGCCACTTGAAACTGTCTACACCACTGTGGTGTGTCCACAAGGAGAGTCCCGTGGTCTCCTATCCAGGAATTCTGAGGTATAATTGTATTGTGTGGAATCACCAGGGCCACGGGAAACACGGCCTCTGACTGCTGCTGGTGGGCCTCCATATTTCTATTCAACAGAACATTGGAACAACCAGAATGGACATCCCACAGCTCTGCCTGGATGGTGCTCAGCTCTCCCTTCGAGCGAGCATGGAGATCCTCCATCTGAATGACGGTCAGGAAATCTGTTTCTGCAGAAATGAAGAGAAAATATTAAATGGTACATTTCAGCCGTAGAACAGCAATGGAGGAGTCTTCACCCCCCCCCCCGAGACATGCAAAAAGGCCAAGATGTGGATCCCATTACAGAGCCTTGACAAAGTCCCACCTCACCCCTTCATCTCGTGGCACAAAGTAAGTGGTTGGTGTTGACACAGTTGACCACCACCTTCTCCTTAGTAAACTACACTCCCTCGGCCTCAGAGACTCCGCCCTCTCCTGGTTCTCCTCCTACCTATCACAGCGCTCCTTCAGTGTTACCTATAATGCTACCACCTCCCCCTCACTCCCCTTCTCTGTTGGGGTCCCTCAAGGCTCCGTCCTCGGCCCCCTTCTCTTCTCCATCTACACCTCCTCCCTTGGCCAACTCATACACTCTCACGGCTTCAACTACCACCTCTATGCCGACGACACACAAAATCTATCTCTCAACCCCCCACCTCACCCCCTCGGTCTCCGCCCCCCACCTCACCCCCTCGGTCTCCCGCCCCCCACCTCATCCCCTCAGTCTCTGCCCGAATCACACACCTACTGAGCGACATATCAGACTGGATGTCGCTCCATTTCCTCAAATTGAACCTTTCCAAAACCAAGCTCCTAGTCTCCCCCCCAGCCCCCCCCCCACCCTCTCCATCACAACCAACAATGCCACCATCAGTCCCACAAGCCAAAGTCCTGGGTGTCACTCTAGACTGTCATCTGTCCTTCCAACCCCATGTCCAATCGCTGGCAACTTCATGCAGACTCCACCTCCATAACATCTCCAAAATACGTTCCTCACCCCAGACACCACTAAACTACTCGTACACTCCCTTATTATCTCACGTCTGGACTACTGCAACTCCCTCCTCACTGGCCTCCCTCATCACAGACTATCCCCGCTTCAGTCTATCCTGAACTCAGCGGCCAGACTCATCCACCTCACCAACCGCTCTGTATCCGCCACCCCCCTCTGTCATTCCCTCCACCGACCTCCACTCAGTGTCCTCCACCCCTCTCTGTCAATCCCTCCACCGACCTCCACTCAGGGTTCTCCACCCCCCTCTGACATTCCCTCCACTGGCCTCCATTCAGTGTCCTCTCCACCCCCCTCTGCCAATCCCTCCACCAACCTCCACTCAGTGTCCTCCACCCCCCTCTGCCAATCCCTCCACTGGCCTCCACTCAGTGTCCTCCACCCCCCTCTGCCATCCCTCCACTGGCCTCCACTCAGCCTCCACTCAGTGTCCACTCCCCCCCCCCCCTGTGCCAATCCCTCCACTGGCCTCCACTAAGTGTCCTCCACCCCCCTCTGTCATTCCCTCCACTGGCCTCCACTCAGTGTCCTCCACCCCTCTCTGCCAATCCCTCCACTGGCCTCCACTCAGTGTCCTCCACCCCCCTCTGTCATTCCCTCCACTGGCCTCCACTCAGTGTCCTCCACCTCCCTCTGTCATTCCCTCCACTGGCCTCCACTCAGTGTCCTCCACCCCCCTCTGTCAATCCCTCCACTGGCTCCCAATTGCCCAACGCATTAAATTCAAACTACTAACACAGACATACAACGCCATTCATAACTCCGCCCCAAACTACCTCACCGACCTGATACCCAAATACCACCCAACCCGTAATATTCGCTCCTCACAAGACCTCCTACTCTCTAGCTCCCTGGTCTCCTCCTCCCATGCCCGACTACAGGACTTCTCCAGGGAATAGAAATAGAAAAACAGTGCGGCGCTTCTATATCCTTACAGCCCTAGATGTATTACAGATAACTTATCACATATAGCTAATAGGTGATAAATAAGTGATACCACACAGTAAAAGTGACTATTGCACAATAACATGAATAGTGTCCATGTGGAAAAATGAAGTCATGCAGGTGTGCACTACAAGTGCCAATCCTCAGACAGGTGGAGTGCCCCCTCACCTTCCTGCCCAGGCCCCACAGGACCAACGAGCCTTGGGTATATAATCGCTCTATACCCCTGAGCGTGGATGGATCCCTCTGCTGATGGGTTCCCCGGATGACAGTATTGGGCTTCTCCTCCTCTTAGCTCCTATGCAAATCGTTGGTGGTAGCGATAGGTCTCCCTCCCTCACGATAACAAATGAGGAAAGAGAGCTTGCATAGTGTAAAACCGCTTTATTCAGACAGTAAGAAGTAAAAAAACGTACTCACATGCTTCTAAAACAAAATCAGGCCTTATCACCACTCAGAGGGTGTACTGTATTCAGGACCAGGTGCACCAAGATGGCGCCCGCGCCGGATGTGACGTCAGAACGTTCAATCGTATAAGCTCCTCCCCTTGGCGTGTCTACACGTTACGTCACTCACACACGTGACTTCATCAGGATAACGCCCATCCCGGGTGGAGCTTTATTTATCTCAATAGCTGGCCAATCAGTGATACAAGTGGGCTGAGCTTCACCGCCATAATAGTGGAGCTCACCTAGTATGTATAATCATCGAGGACGTCTAGTGACCAAACGGGCCCGTCCCTCTCAGGTATACAGATACCTATTAGGTCTACTTGGGATAATACCTTGTCTCACATATAATAAGATCATAAGCAGGCAAAAACCTGGCATATATAGAACGATAAGGGTAAAAATGATTATAGGGGAGATATTTAGGAGGAACTAAAAACTTAAAAGGTTCCTTTATAAAGCCATTCTATACCATCAGGTAGAATATATGGAATAACACCTGCCACTGTCAAAAATATAAAAAAATATATAAAAAATGTATTACTAAGGAGAATACATATATAAAAGGTAGGGGTATCCATACCACACTTATAATAATAAAACCTTCAATCTACATAATAATATATATATAATGAAAAACCCGAAAGGTCATATGTATACGGTACACCATCATCATGATAGCTTAATTAGGCAGCATCCTAAGCCCATACCCGCCACATATCTAGGCCATGTTACGTACATAGGCTAATAGTGTCCAAACCTACATCAATAAATCCAAAAGAGCATGGATGAAGAATACACTAGTCATCACTTTAGAAATTACTAATGAAGCAGTTTAAGTCAAATTCTACATTCAAACCTCTCGGGTATTGGGACCTCATCAAAAAGATCCATTTCGACTCTGCTTGACTAATGGCTCTAATCTTGTTACTTCCTCTCCAGTGATTGTTAAATTTTTCTATACCCCAGAACTTTAATTTCGTTGGGTCGCTTTTATGATGTATAGCAAAATGTTTGGAAACGCTATGTTTGGTGTGCCTTTTTTTAATATTCTGCACGTGTTCTCGGATCCTTTTCCACATAGGTCTCTTGGTTCTGCCAATATATTGAAGCCCACACTCGCACTGGAGGCCATATACTACACCTACTGTCTGACAGGATATAAAGTCCTTGATAGTATATGTCACTCCTGTTGTTGTTGCCTGGAATTGTTTTCTTCTTATATTTAAACCCTTTGTCTCCCTACACGCATAGCAGGTCTTACAGGGGTAGAACCCTTTTAGGTCAATAATCGTGGTTCTTAGATTAGTCTGGGGTGGATCGATCACATTCTTTACCAACCGAGTTCTAATATTTGGAGCCTTTCTATAGATGAATTTTGGTTTAGCAGGTATAACTTTCATCAAGACTGGATCTGATTGTAAGATGGACCAGTATTTCGAGAAAATCTTCTCGATCCTTTTGTGGTGTATGTTATAATCTAGAACAATAGGTACCAAGTCCTCTAGTTGTTTTGTTTGTTCCTTATCCTTAAGTAATTGGGTTCTGTCCATATGTTCTACTTCCTCCATCTTGCTTACAATAAAGTCCTTGTTATAACCTTTTTTTTCAAACCTGTCCCCTAGTTTCTGAACTTGTACTTTATAGTCATCCACATTAGTACAGTTCCTTCGCAGGCGGACAAATTGTCCTTTGGGGATATTAAGGAGCCATTGGGGGTAATGGCAACTGTCTAGAGAGATATAGCCATTTCTGTCTACATTTTTGAAATAGGTAGTGGTTAGCAGTTTGTCATTCTTAATTGATATGTTAAGGTCCAAGAAATGTATATCTCTTCCCTACTAGTTTCCCAGGAGAAAACAATGTTCTTGTCATTGGTGTTAAGTGACTGCAGAAATACCCGTAAAGAGTCCTCATCACCCCGCCATAGGATTATCACGTCATCGATATATCGTTTGTATAATACTAGCTCGTCCGGTATTTTACAATAGACGGAGTGCTGTTCCCAGTGGGCCATAAAAAGATTTGCCACACTCGGTGCAAAACGGGCACCCATGGCAACCCCCTTGATTTGTTGGAAGAATTGATGTCCGTGCCAGAAATAGTTGTGAGTGAGGCAAAAGTCCAGACACTCAACCCTCGCTATATACCATCATTGACCATGAGAACGCGATTACATCCACTAGCTGGGGATTGAGAACATACAGCAACCTCCTGAGGAAACAACAGAAATATATTGTTGAGTGTCTGGACTTTTGCCTCACTCACAAACTATTTCTGGCACGGACATCAATTCTTCCAACAAATCAAGGGGGTTGCCATGGGTGCCCGTTTTGCACCGAGTGTGGCAAATCTTTTTATGGCCCACTGGGAACAGCACTCCGTCTATTGTAAAATACCGGACGAGCTAGTATTATACAAACGATATATCGATGACGTGATAATCCTATGGCGGGGTGATGAGGACTCTTTACGGGTATTTCTGCAGTCACTTAACACCAATGACAAGAACATTGTTTTCTCCTGGGAAACTAGTAGGGAAGATATACATTTCTTGGACCTTAACATATCAATTAAGAATGACAAACTGCTAACCACTACCTATTTCAAAAATGTAGACAGAAATGGCTATATCTCTCTAGACAGTTGCCATTACCCCCAATGGCTCCTTAATATCCCCAAAGGACAATTTGTCCGCCTGCGAAGGAACTGTACTAATGTGGATGACTATAAAGTACAAGTTCAGAAACTAGGGGACAGGTTTGAACAAAAAGGTTATAACAAGGACTTTATTGTAAGCAAGATGGAGGAAGTAGAACATATGGACAGAACCCAATTACTTAAGGATAAGGAACAAACAAAACAACTAGAGGACTTGGTACCTATTGTTCTAGATTATAACATACACCACAAAAGGATCGAGAAGATTTTCTCGAAATACTGGTCCATCTTACAATCAGATCCAGTCTTGATGAAAGTTATACCTGCTAAACCAAAATTCATCTATAGAAAGGCTCCAAATATTAGAACTCGGTTGGTAAAGAATGTGATCGATCCACCCCAGACTAATCTAAGAACCACGATTATTGACCTAAAAGGGTTCTACCCCTGTAAGACCTGCTATGCGTGTAGGGAGACAAAGGGTTTAAATATAAGAAGAAAACAATTCCAGGCAACAACAACAGGAGTGACATATACTATCAAGGACTTTATATCCTGTCAGACAGTAGGTGTAGTATATGGCCTCCAGTGCGAGTGTGGGCTTCAATATATTGGCAGAACCAAGAGACCTATGTGGAAAAGGATCCGAGAACACGTGCAGAATATTAAAAAAAGGCACACCAAACATAGCGTTTCCAAACATTTTGCTATACATCATAAAAGCGACCCAACGAAATTAAAGTTCTGGGGTATAGAAAAATTTAACAATCACTGGAGAGGAAGTAACAAGATTAGAGCCATTAGTCAAGCAGAGTCGAAATGGATCTTTTTGATGAGGTCCCAATACCCGAGAGGTTTGAATGTAGAATTTGACTTAAACTGCTTCATTAGTAATTTCTAAAGTGATGACTAGTGTATTCTTCATCCATGCTCTTTTGGATTTATTGATGTAGGTTTGGACACTATTAGCCTATGTACGTAACATGGCCTAGATATGTGGCGGGTATGGGCTTAGGATGCTGCCTAATTAAGCTATCATGATGATGGTGTACCGTATACATATGACCTTTCGGGTTTTTCATTATATATATATTATTATGTAGATTGAAGGTTTTATTATTATAAGTGTGGTATGGATACCCCTACCTTTTATATATGTATTCTCCTTAGTAATACATTTTTTATATATTTTTTTATATTTTTGACAGTGGCAGGTGTTATTCCATATATTCTACCTGATGGTATAGAATGGCTTTATATAAAGGAACCTTTTAAGTTTTTAGTTCCTCCTAAATATCTCCCCTATAATCATTTTTACCCTTATCGTTCTATATATGCCAGGTTTTTGCCTGCTTATGATCTTATTATATGTGAGACAAGGTATTATCCCAAGTAGACCTAATAGGTATCTGTATACCTGAGAGGGACGGGCCCGTTTGGTCACTAGACGTCCTCGATGATTATACATACTAGGTGAGCTCCACTATTATGGCGGTGAAGCTCAGCCCACTTGTATCACTGATTGGCCAGCTATTGAGATAAATAAAGCTCCACCCGGGATGGGCGTTATCCTGATGAAGTCACGTGTGTGTGAGTGACGTAACGTGTAGACACGCCAAGGGGAGGAGCTTATACGATTGAACGTTCTGACGTCACATCCGGCGCGGGCGCCATCTTGGTGCACCTGGTCCTGAATACAGTACACCCTCTGAGTGGTGATAAGGCCTGATTTTGTTTTAGAAGCATGTGAGTACGTTTTTTTACTTCTTACTGTCTGAATAAAGCGGTTTTACACTATGCAAGCTCTCTTTCCTCATTTGTTATCGTGAGGGAGGGAGACCTATCGCTACCACCAACGATTTGCATAGGAGCTAAGAGGAGGAGAAGCCCAATACTGTCATCCGGGGAACCCATCAGCAGAGGGATCCATCCACGCTCAGGGGTATAGAGCGATTATATACCCAAGGCTCGTTGGTCCTGTGGGGGCCTGGGCAGGAAGGTGAGGGGGCACTCCACCTGTCTGAGGATTGGCACTTGTAGTGCACACCTGCATGACTTCATTTTTCCACATGGACACTATTCATGTTATTGTGCAATAGTCACTTTTACTGTGTGGTATCACTTATTTATCACCTATTAGCTATATGTGATAAGTTAAGTTATCTGTAATACATCTAGGGCTGTAAGGATATAGAAGCGCCGCACTGTTTTTCTATTTCTATTCCCTGTTTATTGTGGGTGCTCTGATTGTGGCATCCGTAGTGCTGGCTGCTGTATTTTAGTAGCATATTTGGAGGCGCAGGAGATACCTCGTTTATTATTTCATAGGACTTCTCCAGGACTTCCCCCATCCTCTGAAACTCACTACCCCAATCCATCACACTATCAGCTACCCTTCTCAACTTTAGGTGCAGCCTGAAAACCCATCTCTTCAGGGAAGCCTACCCCACCCTCACCTAACAGCCGATCTCCTCCACTCTTCCTACCACTCCATCCCCCACAGCCACTTCCTCCTGTACCACTACCCCCTCCCTCCTAGATTGTAAGCTCCCAGGATCAGGGCCCTCGCACCCCTCGTGTATTGTATTGTTACTGTCTTGTCTCATGTTCTGTCCCCACTATAATGTACAGCGCTGAGCAAACCTTCTGCCGCCATATAAATCCTGTATAATAATAATAATATGAAAGGCTGGCACTTGACATTGGACAGGTCCGTACATGTGAGGGGCCCGTGTCCAGTCATACAATCATCTCTCTGAAGAATATTCTTTATAATTACACAAAATAAAGTTACAGAGCTGCCAACACTTCACATAACTTACCTGAGGGAGGCGTACCGGTCAGTGCTTGTCCTCCACTTCTGATGGTAAAGACATCTGTAGGATTACACAAGACCAACACAGGACCAGACGTCTCTTCATTAGGATTAGTCGGGTCTTCTGTTTTTATAAAATCTGCATTATTAACCACATGAGACCCACTGAGACTCAGGATGAAGGAGGTGCCATTGTCCGGGCTCAACAAGCCATTTCCTGGGCTCTCCAAGGTCGTGAATTTCTCAGTGTCCAGGCCTACCGAACTATCTCCTGGGCTCTCCAAGGTTGTCAAAGTCTTAGTATTCAGGCCTACCAAGCCATCTCCTGGGCTCTCCAGGGTTGTCAAAGTCTTAGTATTCAGGCCTACCAAGCCATTTCTTGGGTTCTCCAGGGTTGTGGATGTCTCATTGTCCAAGCTCAACAAGCCATCTCCTGGGTTCTCCAGGGTTGTGGATGCCTCATTATCCAAGCTCAACAAGCCATCTCCTGGGTTCTCCAGGGTTGTGGATGTCTCAGTGTCCAGGCTTAACAAGCCACCTCCTGGGTTCTCCAGGGTTGTGGATGTCTCAGTGTCCAGGCTTAACAAGCCACCTCCTGGGTTCTCCAGGGTTGTGGATGTCTCAGTGTCCAGGCTCAACAGGCCACCTCCTGGGTTCTCCAGGGTTGTGGATGTCTCAGTGTCCAGGCTTAACAAGCCACCTCCTGGGTTCTCCAGGGTTGTGGATGTCTCAGTGTCCAGGCTCAACAGGCCACCTCCTGGGTTCTCCAGGGTTGTGGATGTCTCAGTGTCCAGGCTTAACAAGCCACCTCCTGGGTTCTCCAGGGTTGTGGATGTCTCAGTGTCCAGGCTTAACAAGCCACCTCCTGGGTTCTCAAGGGTTGTGGATGTCTCAGTGTCCAGGCTCAACAAGCCACCTCCTGGGCTCTCCAACATTTTGAATGTATCATTCCCCTCACTAATGGAGTTATTTGCTGAACGTTCTGGAATAACAACGGAGCCTCTGTCATGGTAAAATAGGGTCTCCCAAGTGAGGGAGGATTGTGAAGGTTGAGAAGAGAAGGGAGCGGCAGTTCTCACTGTACTCTCCTCCTGAATTGCAGACATCTTCGTTATTTGGATAATAAAGTTCTTCCCAGAGATCTCCTCAATGATGGCACTTTCTGGGGTCGACAGGCTCTCTACAGCACTCTTGTGGGCTTCCCAACCATCTCCCATCTCCAGCTCTTCCTTCACCTGATACATGAAGCCTGTCAGGTACAAAGCGAATGTTATTCAACGAGCACAACCTACATGGCAGACATCTTTAATGAAACCATTCAGAGGATGAGATCCATCATCAGAGCCGTGAAAGCTTCATAGATCCTTCAAAGAAAACCACTCAGAAGTGTAATCACCCCAATATATTGTCTACCTGAGAAACACAGAGGAGTGATGGCAGAAAAACACGTTGTGCTCCATCAGGTCTGCCCCTTTAAACGTTTGGGGGTGTTTTTTAGGGGATTTTTTTGTACTTTTTTAGTAAAGCTCTACAGTATGTTTGTCCCAAGAACTACGCCTGCTGGAAATCTGTTCTAAAAGAAAAGGAATTGCAAAATGAAAAGACATTGTGGTCCAGTGTTGGGGAAAGTGAAAACAATTCCTGGGGTGCATTACTAGAGGGGTCACCGGTAGGAGGAAGGAGGTCCTGATTCCTCTATATAGATCTATCACTAGAGGGGTCACCGGCAGGAGGAAGGAGGTCCTGATTCCTCTATATAGATCCTATCACTAGAGGGGTCACCGGCAGGAGGAAGGAGGTCCCGATTCCTCTATATAGATCCTATCACTAGAGGGGTCACCGGCAGGAGGAAGGAGGTCCTGATTCCTCTATATAGATCTATCACTAGAGGGGTCACCGGCAGGAGGAAGGAGGTCCTGATTCCTCTATATAGATCTATCACTAGAGGGGTCACCGGGAGGAGGAAGGAGGTCCTGATTCCTCTATATAGATCTATCACTAGAGGGGTCACCGGCAGGAGGAAGGAGGTCCTGATTCCTCTATATAGATCCTATCACTAGAGGGGTCACCGGCAGGAGGAAGGAGGTCCTGATTCCTCTATATAGATCCTATCACTAGAGGGGTCACCGGCAGGAGGAAGGAGGTCCTGATTCCTCTATATAGATCCTATCACTAGAGGGGTCACCGGCAGGAGGAAGGAGGTCCTGATTCCTCTATATAGATCTATCACTAGAGGGGTCACCGGGAGGAGGAAGGAGGTCCTGATTCCTCTATATAGATCCTATCACTAGAGGGGTCCCCGGCAGGAGGAAGGAGGTCCTGATTCCTCTATATAGATCTATCACTAGAGGGGTCACCGGCGGGAGGAAGGAGGTCCTGATTCCTCTATATAGATCCTATCACTAGAGGGGTCACCGGCAGGAGGAAGGAGGTCCCGATTCCTCTATATAGATCTATCACTAGAGGGGTCACCGGCAGGAGGAAGGAGGTCCTGATTCCTCTATATAGATCTATCACTAGAGGGGTCACCGGCAGGAGGAAGGAGGTCCTGATTCCTCTATATAGATCTATCACTAGAGGGGTCACCGGCAGGAGGAAGGAGGTCCTGATTCCTCTATATAGATCTATCACTAGAGGGGTCACCGGCAGGAGGAAGGAGGTCTTGTGAGGAGCGGAGTGTGCGTGTTGGGTGGTAGATGGATATTAGGTCAGTGATGTAGTTCGGGGCAGTATGGTGGACGGCTTTGTACGTCAGTGTTAGGATTTTGAATTTGATCCGTTGGGCAATCGGAAGCCAGTGGAGGGATTGGCAGAGGGGGGTGGAGGCCAGTGGAGGGATTGGCAGAGGGGGGTGGAGGACACTGAGTGGAGGCCAGTGGAGGGAATGACAAAGGGGGGTGGAGGACACTGAGTGGAGGCCAGTGGAGAGATTGGCAGAGGGGGGTGGAGGCCAGTGGAGGGATTGGCAGAGGGGGGTGGAGGACACTGAGTGGAGGCCAGTGGAGGGAATGACAGAGGGGGGTGGAGGACACTGAGTGGAGGCCAGTGGAGGGATTGGCAGAGGGGGGTGGAAGACACTGAGTGGAGGCCAGTGGAGCGATTGGCAGAGGGGGGGGTGGCGGACACTGAGTGGAGGCCAGTGGAGGGATTGGCAGAGGGGGTGGAGGACACTGAGTGGAGGCCAGTGGAGGGATTGGCAGAGGGGGGTGGAGGACACTGAGTGGAGGCCAGTGGAGGGATCGGCAGAGGGGGGTGGAGGACACTGAGTGGAGGTCAGTGGAGGGATTGGCAGAGGGGGGTGGCGGAGATGGAGCGGTTGGAAAGGTGAATGAGTCTGGCAGCCGTATTCAGGATGGACTGAAGCGGGGATAGCCTGTGGTGTGGCAGGCCAGTGAGGAGGGAGTTGCAGTAGTCGAGTCGTGATATGATGAGGGAGTGGATGAGCTGTTTAGTGGTTTCTGGAGTTAGGAACGTGCGGATTTTGGCCATGTTGCGGAGGTGGAGTCTGCATGTTGCGGAGGTGGAGTCTGCATGTTGCGGAGGTGGAGTCTGCATGTTGCGGAGGCGGAGTCTGCATGTTGCGGAGGCGGAGTCTGCATGTTGCGGAGGAGGAGTCTGCACGAGTTTGTTAGTGATTGGACTTGGGGCTGGAAGGATAGGTTGGAGTCCAGAATGACACCAAGTACTCTGGCCTGCAGGGCGGGTTTGATGGTGGCGTTGTTGGACGTGATGGAGAAGTCAATGGGGGGGGGGGGGGAAGACAAGAAACTCTGTTTTGGAGAGGTTCAGTTTAAGGAAGTGGAGTGACATCCAGTCTGATATGTCGCTCAGGAGGTGTGTGATTCGGGCGGAGACCGAGGGGGTGAGGTGGGGGGTGGAGACCGAGGGGGTGAGGTGGGGGGCGGAGACCGAGGGGGTGAGGTGGGGGGCGGAGACCGAGGGGGGTGAGGTGGGGGGTGGAGAGATAGATTTGTGTGTCGTCGGCATAGAGGTGGTAGTTGAAGCCGTGAGAGTGTATGAGTTGGCCAAGGGAGGAGGTGTAGATGGAGAAGAGAAGGGGCCCGAGGACAGAGCCTTGAGGGACCCCAACAGTGAGGGGGAGGTGGTAGCATTATAGGTAACGCTGAAGGAGCGTTGTGACAGGTAGGATGAGAGCCAGGAGAGGGCGGAATCTCTGAGGCCGAGGGAGTGTAGATTTTTGAGGAGGAGGGGGTGGTCAACTATGTCTATCACTAGAGGGGTCACCGGCAGGAGGAAGGAGGTCCTGATTCCTCTATATAGATCCTATCACTAGAGGGGTCCCCGGCAGGAGGAAGGAGGTCCCGGATTCCTCTATATAGATCCTATCACTAGAGGGGTCACCGGCAGGAGGAAGGTAGGTCCTGATTCCTTCTATATAGATCCTATCACTAGAGGGTCACCGGCAGGAGGAAGGGGGTCCTGATTCCTCTATATAGATCATATCACTAGAGGGGTCACCGGCAGGAGGAAGGAGGTCCTGATTCCCTCTATATAGATCCTATCACTAGAGGGGTCACCGGCAGGAGGAAGGGGTCTGATTCCTCTATATAGATCTATCACTAGAGGGGTCACCGGGAGGAGGAAGGAAGGTCCTGATTCCTCTATATAGATCCTATCACTAGAGGGTCCCCGGCAGGAGGAAGGAGGTCCTGATTCCTCTATATAGATCTATCACTAGAGGGGTCACCGGCGGGAGGAAGGAGGTCCTGATTCCTCTATATAGATCCTATCACTAGAGGGGTCACCGGCAGGAGGAAGGAGGTCTGATTCCTCTATATAGATCTATCACTAGAGGGGTCACCGGCAGGAGGAAGGAGGTCTTGTGAGGAGCGGAGTGTGCGTGTTGGGTGGTACTTGGATAATCAGGTCGGTGATGTAGTTCGGGCAGTATGGTGGGACGGCTTTGTACGTCAGTGTTAAGATTTTGAATTTGATCCGTTGGGCAATCAGAAGCCTGTGGAGGGGTCTTGGCAGAGGATGGTGGGGGTGGAGGCCAGTGGAGGGATTGGCAGAGGGGTGGTGGAGGCCAGTGGAGGGAATTGGCAGAGGGGGGTGGAGGACACTGAGTGGAGGCCAGTGGAGGGAATGACAAAGGGGGGTGGAGGACACTGAGTGGAGGCCAGTGGAGAGATTGGCAGAGGGGGGTGGAGGGCCAGTGGAGGGATTGGCAGAGGGGGGTGGAGGACACTGAGTGGAGGCCAAGTGGAGGGATTGGCAGAGGGGGGGTGGAAGACACTGAGTGGAGGCCAGTGGAGCGATTGGCAGAGGGGGGTGGCGGACACAAGTGGAGGCCAGTGGAGGGATTGGCAAGGGGGGTGGAGGACACTGAGTGGAGGCCCAGTGGAGGATTGGCATTTGCTCAGAGGGGGGTGGAGACACTGAG